ATCCTCGGGTCCCTTGTCTCAAACTCTCCGTTGACTTGATTGACTACTAGCATAGAATCACAATGCACGATTAAATCGGTAACTCCAGTCGTCTCAGCTAACCGAAGTCCTGAGATGAGGGCCTCGTATCACAACTTGTATACGTATATATGAATATGTACGTATACAAATTCGTATATATATATATATAAATATATACACCCCTCACACACAATATATATATATATATATACTAGTTATAATATGTGCTTAAAGGTACAGAATAATAAAAAATAATAGATAATAAACATATTTGTATTCATATTTAACATCAAATCACAAATAAAGAAGAGATAAAAGAATTTAAGTATCAATTTGTATTGAGAGTGAAAGGTGGTGAGCGATAGTGGTGGTGGTAGGAGACGGTGATGGTTGTGGTGGGTGGCAATGACCGTGGCGGCGAGGACGAGGGCGATGGTGGTGGTGGCAGCGACGAAAGCGATGATGGCGACGGTGGTGGTGGTGGTGGTAGAGGTAGTGGTGGGACGGTTTCAAACACTATTTTTTTTGAAGTATTTATAAAAAATAATTTTTAAAAGTACTTTAAAAAAGTCACTCCAAACACAACTTTAGGACCTATTTTTCCTATTAAATTTAGAGTGTTAATATTAGTCGTTAGATTAACTTTAAATTAAAATTTAAAGCGATTTCAATCGCAAATAACAAAAGTCATTTTGTTTATGTTTTAAGATTTGAATTGTAAGCTACTTTATTATATATATATATATATATAATATTCTTACTTGTGTTAAATCTTTTCCATTTCATTTTAGTAAATTATTATTTAGTTTGGTTTACCTTTGTCACCTAACCTTTGTTGATTCAAGAGGGGCGAGTCTCAATTCAATCCTGTTTGTAAGTCCTCGTGTGTAGGCAGCCTTAGGACGCAGAGACATGCCATGAGAACATGTATGTTAGGGGGTATGTACAATGGAGTCAAATCTAAACATAAATTTATATGATTGAAAAAATTAAGTTTAAAAATGAGTAGATTATTCAGATCTAACTCTATGGCTAGCTCATCTAGTTCTTCATTTAGTACTATACCTAATATAGTAAATGAGGAAGAAGAAGAACACCATGAGTCACAAGTTGACTGGAGTGGATGAAATATCCCAAACGTATCCCATCGAAATATCTATAAGACGAGTTGGGTTCCAAAAGCAGTCATGCATTGACAGTATATCCTATAGATAAGTACTAGAGATTGAGTCTCTTTTACCTGTTTGGTAATTTGACCTGATAATTTTATACCTAAGGTTAAGGCCATAGGTGTATTTTTACAACTAAGACTAAGGGTAAAATCTGGAAAGCAGTTGAAATAAATTGGTCCGTTATGAAGACCAGTCTCCATTATTCCTAAAATGCCAGGTGCATATTCTATGAATCTAGCATCTCTTAGGGTTAATAGAGCTGCTGCATCTTTACCTGGTGACATCAATGGTTTAATTGCTACTTGACTTAATCAAGGTGTATAAAATTAAAACTTTTTTTCCTATATTTTTATAGGGTTTTTTTACTAATTAATTGACAAGTTTCTTCCTCTTTACTGAGAGCATAAACTTGTTCAATTATTTTTACTTGAAGTTCTGAGTTGAATGCTTTTGGAATCCAACTCGTCTTATACATATATTGTTCTCCTTGTTTTCAATTTTTTTGACTCCAATCTCATTTTTTCTAAAATTTAGAGAACAAAAATGCTAAACAAACAAGTTTTAGGTGTTTTTAAAATTTTAAAAACAAAAATCTGTTTTCGAAATGATGACCAAACATGACCTAAATATGTATGTATACTACAATTTTTATTTTTTTTTTGCTACAGATTATTCATACTATAGTTTTTTCGAGCTTAGCGATGAGTCATTGTGGTTTGAGTTGGGTTCTGAGACCTCTAAATTATCAAAGATCATCCTTAATCACTGAACCAGTTCAAAGAATTNGCTACAGATTATTCATACTATAGTTTTTTCGAGCTTATCGATGAGTCATTGTGGTTTGAGTTGGGTTCTGAGACCTCTAAATTATCAAAGATCATCCTTAATCACTGAACCAGTTCAAAGAATTATGTATGTATACATTTGTAAAGGAAACATGTGGACAAATTAAAATTAGTTTTTGTATCTCTAAGACAATAGAGATACCACATGACCTCATCTTTATATTATTAAGCTCCCAACCAATCGATACATTTTAATACTTGATGAGTAGCTCCAATGTTTCTTAATTATCAATTTTTTTTTTAATTCACAATGAGGTATTTTTCCAATTCATAAGGAGACTAGTGAATGGGACTCATTAAACGACGAATCAAAATTAAATTTAGGTTTAAGTTTGCATGTTTCTTTGAGTTCACTCATCGCGATTCATTTTAATTTGGGTAAATCAAATAAATATCCATTAGATATCATCTTTGTTTTAAATTACCCCCTATACTATTTATTCTCCTAATTTATCTCTTAAACTATATAATTTATTTGAATCAACCTCTTCTGTTAAGATTAACTATTAAATGAGAGAAATTCTCGTTAGTTTATCTCATTTAACACTTAATTTAAAGAAAATTTGTCTTATTTATTAGTTAGTCCTAACGAAAAGGGGTCAATTAAAAAAAATTACATATTATAGGGGGCAAATGGGGATAATTGATAGTTCATGGAATAATTTAAAATAAGGCTATAGTTCAAGGGGTATTTATGAGATTTACCCTTTCAATTTTATGGCATGAGCTATGGTTATTACATTTTGATCATGTTCAATTAATCAAGAATTANTCCAAACGTATCCCATCGAAATATCTATAAGACGAGTTGGGTTCCAAAAGCAGTCATGCATTGATAGTATATCCTATAGATAAGTACTAGAGATTGAGTCTCTTTTACCAGTTTGGTAATTTGACCTGATAATTTTATACCTAAGGTTAANTAGTGGTCTAGTGAGAAGTTGTACACGTTTAGGGTTATCTCTCACTCTCATATGGTTATCAAGTAGGATTTGATTCACAGAAATAACGTGATTTGCTACTTGATTTTGGTAGTGTTGTAGTGATAGATTATCTTTCCGAGTTAGTAGTTATGGTTTAAATCGGACATTTTACAGTGGAGGATCCTCGTGATCATGTCCAATAAAAGTTATTAACTATTGGCCTACTTTCGGGCCAAAAAAGAAAAAAATTAACCAAGAATTNTCTGTTAAGATTAACTATTAAATGAGAGAAATTCTCGTTAGTTTATCTCATTTAACACTTAATTTAAAGAAAATTTGTCTTATTTATTAGTTAGTCCTAACGAAAAGGGGTCAATTAAAAAAAATTACATATTATAGGGGGCAAATGGGGATAATTGATAGTTCATGGAATAATTTAAAATAAGGCTATAGTTCAGGGGGTATTTATGAGATTTACCCTTTCAATTTTATGGCATGAGCTATGGTTATTACATTTTGATCATGTTCAATTAATCAAGAATTATTATTTGAGCTAGTGGTCTAGTGAGAAGTTGTACACGTTTAGGGTTATCTTTCACTCTCATATGGTTATCAAGTAGGATTTGATTCACAGAAATAACGTGATTTGCTATTTGATTTTGGTGGTGTTGTAGCTCTTCTGTTAAGATTAACTATTAAATGAGAGAAATTCTCGTTAGTTTATCTCATTTAACACTTAATTTNCGAAGACGTGTCCGACTTATCTTCTCCGATGCCTAAGTTAGGAGGTGCTCAAAAGGAGGATAAAACTTTGTTGCTCCCGAATGTGTGCATGTGAATCAACTCATTGGGGATATTTATATCTTCTAATAAGGATGACGTAACACTAGGAGTCCCACCAAACCGACTAAGGAATCCTTCATAGGGGTAATCATCAATGAACTGTAATTCTCTCAAACCATGCACTTACTAAAACCGGGGATGTTGACCTTTTTTCGAGATCTAGATTTGTAATGATTACCATATTTGGGACACTGAATGCTTAATGCATGTCCTCTCAACATTTAATGACCTCTGCAGGACATTTACTGAGTTATGTCGAGCATTCATTGTGTTGACACTAAACATTTAGTTTACATGCCCTCAAAAAATTTAAGTTAGTAATGATCATACTTTTTATCTAATTTTTTTGAGATTTGAAATACATTTTGATGTAACATGTCTACAAAAAACAATCATTCGCTTTGACCCATTGCGTTATGATAGATCCATATCCTTGCCTAACGTTAAATACTCGGCTCTTGGGTACACTTTTTGCCCTTCGAATGTTGGGCATGTTCCTCCATGTTCTATCCGTGAGGCCATTCAATTCCCTCGGTCCGAGTATCATACTTTGATACAAGAATCGTTTCGTATACCAATAATATAAAATGATAGATTAAAAAATGAAATTATGCCAGATTAAGTTTTTTTTTGAACAGTGCCGTATTTATTAGATACCCAACCTGATTCGGTGGTATATGTGCATGCCTTTGTCCAAAAACATGAGTCGGTCTTTAGAATGGACAATGCGGGTCAGCCCAATTTGCAGCTTCACACCAAGACAGCCAACATGTAGAACTTGGTGGTGGGCAACCCCACTGCCATCCCTGAAAATGTGGGCCCAATTGCCTCCTATCCTAATAAAAGCATTTGAAGAGTCAGTTTGTGAGGGTGGGGGGCTTTGCATTTTCTGAAGGGGGCACATCACATTCTTGGTAAACCCACTGAATTATTGTACCCAAAGATGGACAATTTTGCAAAAAGCAGCATCTCTCTCTCCCTCTCTCTCTCAAACATCTACACTTGCCACTGCCCAATGGGGGGTTGAAACTTGAAAGTGGTGGACGAAAGCGAAAGGACACACTCCACATCAAACCCACGCAGATATATTGCTTTCTCTGTATAAAAGATTTCTTGCTCTGTATATATTGGGCATCTTTCTGTGACTCTCACACACACGAAGACACTCTTTGCTCTTATTCAATTGGTGGTTGAAGATGCCTAGGCCAGGTCCGAGGCCTTATGAGTGTGGTCGAAGAGCTTGGCACAGCGATAGACACCAACCCATGAGAGGTTCGATCATTCAACAAATTTTCAGGTACTGTATGAGCTTGTTTGTTTAATGGTGGTCTTTCGTCTTCGTTTTCTCAATGCCCACCATATGTTTGATCAGGGTCGTCCGTGAGAGGCACAGTACTGCAACTAAAAACAACGAAGAATGGCAAGAGAAACTCCCTATTGTTGTCTTGAAAGCTGAGGAAATCATGTACTCCAAAGCCAATTCAGAGGTTGCTCTTCTTCATTACAGTTAATGCTAGTGTGGTGTGACTTAGATTTCTTTGTTCTTTTGTTATTTACTGAGAGTTATTCGGTTCAATTTTTTTTTGTATTGATCAGGCTGACTACATGGATCTTGTAACACTATGGGACCGGGTTAATGACGCCATTAATACAATCATTCGGATAGATGAGAGTATGGAAACTGGAGGGCTTCTGCCACCGTGTGTTGAAGGTACACATTGCACATTCTTGGTTTTAACATTTAACCATGAAAATATGCTACTCGGCTGTCCTTATCGTTGCACATTGAGCTAAAATTCACTGGGATGTTCTCATTTTGATAGTATATCAGTTCAGCTCAATGCCGTTTCAGTTCTCAATTAGTTTGACATGGATTTATAATATTTATCTGTTTTCCTCTCGTCACAATTATGTTCAGCTGCCCTCAATCTGGGTTGTGTTCCAATTAGAGCATCCCGAAGCCAACAGCAGAGTAATCCCNTAGTTCTCAATTAGTTTGACATGGATTTATAATATTTGTCTGTTTTCCTCTCGTCACAATTATGTTCAGCTGCTCTCAATCTGGGTTGTGTTCCAATTAGAGCATCCCGAAGCCAACAGCAGAGTAATCCCAGAACTTATCTCAACCCAAGAACTCAAGAACCTGGTTGTGTACCTCCTAGAACTTGGGATAACGAAATGAATGAGCAAAACCATACTATTGGAAATCAACAAACCCTTTCAAGACGCGTGTCAGAATCCAACCTAAATGTAATGCCAGATAAATATAATCGAACTGTTTCCCATAATTTTCCTTCGTCAGCTGAGCTTTTTTCTCACCCTGCCCCTAATCTGTTTGTCCCACCTGAAACCCTCACCTCCCTGAATGTGGGTTCAGTTNAAATCAACAAACCCTTTCAAGACGCAGGGTCATGGACTCTGCCCATTTAGTGTCAGAATCCAACCTAAATGTAATGCCAGATAAATATAATCGAACTGTTTCCCATAATTTTCCTTCGTCAGCTGAGCTTTTTTCTCACCCTGCCCCTAATCTGTTTGTCCCACCTGAAACCCTCACCTCCCTGAATGTGGGTTCAGTTTACCCCTTGTATTATGGTCCTCACTTTCAACCTGAAGTCCCCTGGATGGGCTCCCAGATTGCAGAAAATTTACACCCCATAATTGTCGGCACACCAGTTTTTCCATCCACTGCAAAGCCTGCTGAAATGGGTTGCTTGCGGAACCTGTTCTCTTATGATGGGGATGCAGATGCTGCAAACAGAGCAACTCAAGTAGATATCAGAGACAACCATGAAAAGCCAACTGAGATGGGGTGTGATTTGTCATTGCGGTTGGGAACATCTTTAGAATCATGCATGAGTAGGGGAAAAGGTTTGGGTCATGAAATTGATGGTGGTGGTCCAAGCAGTTCTCAAGAGGAGGGAAAGGTTGGCAATTTATCTCCTCGTCAAAACAAGGGGTTTTCATTCTTTCCGGTGGACACTACTAATGATCCCTTTCAGATCAATAGACGTAAGTTAAATTTTGACGTTGAAGGTCAGACTGTAGAAGCAGCTGTTAGGAAGCGTAAGGTGCCCTTTGAAGCCAATGTGGAGGATAGGCAATTTTCTGGCAATTGAAGCCCACTTCCAACCAATTTTCTGGTCGATGAAAAAGGTCAAGTAGTTTGTAGATCATCGCCTTTCTTTGTACAAAATATTTTGAGACAAAAAAAAAAAAAATCTGAGGTGCCTCAGTACTTTCTTTGAGGCCCTTTATGCGGCTTTTTTTGGCAATCTTTTTGGTTATAAACTTTCAAATGGGTTGATTAGTTGCAAGTTGCAATAGTGTCAAAAGGCAAGTTATGTATTGATATTGTGAGTCATGCTGAAACGGAATTGGGACTTCAATCTTATTAGGAGTGTAAACCTACTGGGGTCATCCATCTAGTGATCTAGGACAATAGAGTGGGAAGAAGGGAGCAGAAAAGAAAGTAAAGAGAAATAAGTTGAATTGTATATACAACATATGAAATCTAAGAAACAACAACAGTGGATGGGTGTAAAATCCTGAACTAAAGAGAACTGCTCTGAATTCTGGTTAGACCAGTCTACAGCATTCGAAAGTCTTAGGGTCTCCATTGAATTATGCCCATATAAACCTTTGAATTAATGCCACTTACATTCTTTTTGCTACATTATTAAATAGAGATTATTTATTTTTACATCTATAGTATTCAGGAAGCATGTTTGGAATAAAGACTAAATGAGAATTTACAATCACCGAAGGAAATAGCAGAATGCACTGTGAGAGAATAGGAGTCTCCTCTGCTGTCACATTTTATTTCATTTGTGGGAAAATGAAAGTTAATGCTGATGTCACATTTTATATTCATTCCTTGCCTTCACATCCACCCTGTGTCTTGTAGGAAATACTTTATCATGTTACTTGTCCTTTATGCGGCAGTCACTCCTCATTGAAGGAATTGGTTTCCTTATCCAAATTTACATGCTTGTAGTAAAATAGCATACCATAGTTAGAATTAGCCTTGGTTTTTGTTAAATGTTATGGCTATGAATCAACTTACTAAGAAAACTGTACCATGCATCAGCTCTTTCAATTTTGATTTGAATTCCCGTCCTCAGTTTAAATGTTCTGCATGATGTAGTTCGGAGAAAGAAAGCTGTGATTATGGATAGTCTCTCGAAAACCAAGTTTGTTCCTGATTCTGTTTCTATTGGTTTTTAACGATGTGGTTAGGAGAATTCATGCCGTAGGGGACTTTTTCTTTATGTGTATAATCGATTTCTATATGATCACTGAACATAGCAACTAAGAGTCTCATTCTGGCCTACCCCAAAATCCATTTCTTCTTTTTCGGATACCTATAGTAATATTACTTGATGTTGTATGCTAAAATGTGCCACATCTCCAGTTTCTTTTTTGAAGTGATATCCTACCGACTAGCACACCACATTGGGATTTGGATATTCTAAAGCAATAGTGTATGTAATAACAGTGCAACTGTTAGAAGTAATTTAGAAGTACTTTTGCTTAAAACCTGGGGAGGATCGCCCTAGCCTAATTCTATCACACCGGGCTATTTATACATTTGAAACTCAAGAGGAACTCTTCTCCAGGAACTTAGACTAGAATGCAAAATGACTATGCTTATATAGAAGCACCCATATGGATTCAACCCCAACCTCTGCCCTCCTTCCCATAGGAATTAAGAAGTTTATAGCTGACCATAGTTACTGTGAACATCATCGGTGGTCAAACCCATAGCAATTTCAGCTCTCTCAGATTTTCTTCCCTAAACTATGTGGCATGCTTTCTGATGGAAAATTTGTCTGATATCTTTAGACTCTTCTTGAGGTAATGATATTGTAAGTATAAGTTTCAAAAAGTTCACCACAAAAATCCAACTAGGCATGAATTGAGTTGAAATTTGAGAAAAATCATGTGTTGTTTATACTGGTGTAGAAGTTGTTCAATGGTCACATACTCCTATATGCAATTTTCCATCAAGTATTCTCAGTGGTAGTCTATCTGAACTCCATGTTTTCAGCTTTACTATTAGAGAGCACACTTATTCTAGCCTTGCTAGTGCAAGGAAAAAGAGATTCAACAATCATTTAGCTCTGTGGACGTGTCTGCGCCTATGCACACTTCTATGTAGCAGTTCGAAATATTAGATTTCACATTATTCTTTCTCCAATTAGGTCTGCCAATGGATTGTTGTGTTCAAAATATACTCAACCCATACCAACCCATTCATAACCGTGTATAGCAGTCGGGTTTAGCGGGTTTGTGTCGTATTTAGTTGGGTCCGTTGAACTCATTTGTTAAAGGAGTCTACGAGGTTAATCAGTTTACCATCCGAGCATGCTAAAGTTGAATTCAATTTTACAAAATTAGTCAATTCATATCATGTTTAGAGTTGACCCAATTTCTGAATGTATAGCATAACCATTGGCTTAAAATTCCCCCCGCCCCCCCTTCTTTTTTCTTGTTATGTATGAGAACTGCGTGGGCTTCTTCTTTTGCGCAATCAATTTCAGTGTTGATTATTGCGTGTCAACATTATTCTGACTAATTTCTCATTAGTTTTTTTGACCAATTGGCAATTCCACAAGTATACCTGAATTAGTAAGTTTGACTAATTATGGCATTCATATTGTGCGTTGTTCGGATATAATATTGAGTGAAATTGGGATGATTAGTTACGAGATTAATTTATCGTTGAAAAGACGAAAGCACTCATTTTGAATATGAACACTAATTAGGTTCCTGCAATAGCTGCATATTGTTTCAAGACTAATTATTCTAGTATATTGATACTTAGGGGTGTTAAAATATGACAAGACTCGTTAATACGATATGAAATTAAATGGTTTTAATTTTCNGACCCATTCATAACCGTGTATAGCAGTCGGGTTTAGTGGGTTTGTGTTGTATTTAGTTGGGTCCGTTGAACTCATTTGTTAAAGGAGTCTACGAGGTTAATCAGTTTACTATCCGAGCATGCTAAAGTTGAATTCAATTTTACAAAATTAGTCAATTCATATCATGTTTAGAGTTGACCCAATTTCTGAATGTATAGCATAACCATTGGCTTAAAATTCCCCCCGCCCCCCCTTCTTTTTTCTTGTTATGTATGAGAACTGCGTGAGCTTCTTCTTTTGCGCAATCAATTTCAGTGTTGATTATTGCGTGTCAACATTATTCTGACTAATTTCTCATTAGTTTTTTTGACCAATTGGCAATTCCACAAGTATACCTGAATTAGTAAGTTTGACTAATTATGGCATTCATATTGTGCGTTGTTCGGATATAATATGGAGTGAAATTGGGATGATTAGTTACGAGATTAATTTATCGTTGAAAAGACGAAAGCACTCATTTTGAATATGAACACTAATTAGGTTCCTGCAATAGCTGCATATTGTTTCAAGACTAATTATTCTAGTATATTGATACTTAGGGGTGTTAAAATATGACAAGACTCGTTAATACGATATGAAATTAAATGGTTTTAATTTTCTTTAAGTTATCTGTTTCGTAAACGAGTAGACTCGATTTAACATTGTTAATAAACGAATTGAGTCTGAGTGAATTCAATTAAAAGAAATATATGATACGACTCGTTTATATATTAGTTATACAAGATACAACAAAAACTCATATGAAATGATTTATTAGACACAAATTAATGAACAAATCAGGTATGGTTGTAGTGTGCTTTTTAACACAAATCTATTAAAATTCGACACAAATTTATCTCACCCGACACAACTGATCGACTTAATTGATAGGAGCAATTACACTGAAACCCTCTGAAGTTTGTCACTTAATTACTCAGACCCTTTGATATTTAAAATATTACGCACAGACCCCCTAAAATTTTTGCGCACGTAACACTTAAATTTTTGCTATCTAGACCCCTTGAAATTTGTAGGCATGTAATATTTAGATCCCTTAAATTTAAAATATTATACTTACACCAAAATTACTCCAATCAAATATACAATATCAAATATTTTAAATTTTACGACTAAAATTTATATTCTGTTATGATATTTATTAAAATAAAATCAAAAATAAAAATCTATTTTTTTCTTAAAAAATTATAATTAACATAAAATTATACTGTCTATTATAGTTTGACCCTTGTTTATTTTTTAGTTTATTCCAATAGATAGTATAATTGTATACTAATTATGATTTTTTTTAAAAAAAATTATATTTATATTTTTGAGTTTATTTCAATAAATGATACAATAAAATATTAATTTTGTTTGTAAAATTTAAAATATTTGATATTTTATTTTTGATTATAATATTTTTGATCTAAATATTATATTTTAAATTTAAGGAATCAAACTATTTTATACTTATAAATTTCAGAAAGTCTGACGCTAATCATACCTTCTTCTAGAATACATTCAGAAAATTCCACATGAGCTCATTTGTTTCAAATCGGGCGTCTGCCCAACAACCTTCCCGATTGTAAATCTTTGACTACGACGACTCTAATTTTATTATTATTTTTTGTCTAATGTTATCTTGGGGACCCACTAATTGCAATTTTCCTTGGGTTGCTCCTAATAATAAAAATGAAATATTCCTTTGGATTTTGTGTTGTTTACTTTTGTAATTGTAAACCTTTGTTCGCTCGTGACTCTTCTCTTGTTTGGTTGTTTTTTTTCTAACGTGAGAAAAAGTGTTGACCTTTTACACTTTCTTTCTTAACGCGTTAAAAGCTGGGTTGGGCTGGTGACTGAAAGGTATTTTGTTTTTAGGTGTGAGAAGACTGTGTACAATCAAAGTGGTTCCTTAAAAGCTAATGATGCATTTAGTCAAATCATCCGCGTTGGCTCTAAGCGTAGGCCATTAAAAGCTATCGCCCGATTTAGGGTCCCAAATTTTTTTTCAGCACTTCTAATTTTCAGATAATTTTAGGTACGAAAGTGCAAACCTAATGAGAAATTGATATGAAAATAAAGAAATTTGGGTTTAGTGTCAGGTGATACGAGTGATAAATAAATAAATTTGTTAAGTCTCTCAAATAAATGGGTTAACATAAATTTAATTAAACACAAAATAAATCTACTAAACACGACTTATATTATATAAT